TGCTGTTTTTCACTGGTGTTCAAACAATTGGGTTCGGCGCCTTACATTTCTGCAAGAACATTTAAATACCTATTACTTGGAGCTTTTCTACTGGCATATCATGGAGTCATTACTGGACATGAAGACAATTTCTCTTGACAATAACACCTGTGGAGGAACTTTGCTCCCCTTCTGTGGACAATCTGTGCTTTTACGTGGCCTGAACTCAGGGGTTCAGCCCTAGTACTCTGATACTCCACCCATGATCCGAAAAGCATTCATGCGAACTTTCTGTGGACCCCGCATTTGTATGAGGAATCGCATTTTCTCCTAATGGGACGAATTTAGCCACAAGGATCAACTGCACTATTCCCTTGACATCCAGTGTGAATACCTGGACACGAACTCTGCTTGGCAGGACCAGTGTACCACAAAGGGAAAGCCAAATTCCATTAATTTGAAATGCTTACACACCTGCGCAATCCTGCACCCGACTTTCCTGGACATTTCATCTCTTGACCGGGTTTAACGATGAATGGCGGACCTGGACTAGGCACTTCGGTTAGCCAGCGCAGAGAATTAGAGCTCACATGACTGCGCATAGTCGAGTGTACGTTCGGTCCGAAAGATACATTGGCGGTATACATTACCATTCAAACGGATTGGCGGCATTGTTCCAGAACGTGGTAGGTTTTCGCCTGGCAAGCGCTCTCTATAAAGAACCATAAATGTCCGTTTAACAACACCGCGACGCGGCGGATGTGACTTGCACCCGAATGAAGTCACTGCCCAAAAGCTCACACTGACAAGTTAACCAGAGCGACCTTTTACATCATTTCAGTATATTTTGGATATGTACACTAAAAAGACACTTCCTGTTTCTACCATCCGTCTCCACGCTATATATTAAGCTGTTACACATTCTTGAACCCAGTCTTTCGACACACCAACTAAGCTTCCGTTCCTAACCAGTGCATTCACCATTTCGGTAGCTTCTGTATATTATGCGAACAGCCTATTTCATGCAAAGCAAGGTGCTTGTTGCGAAACAATCACTTGTGCAGTCTTGATCATGCAAGATGTGGTGTGCCTCGGTGTATTCGAGAATAAATTCATTATTTATTTATTCATTTATGACAAGGGCTATTTGATGGAGCAGCACGGTAGGTCCTCCGGCACCTAAAACGCTTCCGGAGCAGGTACGTGTATGTGATATCTATCCACGGGGGAGGTATACGCGTCCCTTTTCTCTTCGCAGTCCCGATGCATGGTGCAGACACCACCGTGATGCAAGGATCAATTTGATCCCAGTCTGCCTGATCCTTATCAAGCACCGAGATTTCGCAACGCAAGCCAGAAGTCTTGGTATACATAGTTTGATGACGAACGCCGCATGTACTGCCGCTCTGAGTAGATACCCTGTATATCTTATCCTCACTGGAAGTGACTAGCCAGCATCCCCCGTCTAGATCAACGCTGCGTACATTAACGTGCATATAATGAACCCCGAAGCGTCGCCGTGCGTACCCG